CTGCTTTTCACTCCCTTTAAGGAGTCTCAAAGCGGCTAGCATTCTCTTTTCCCTACCTCCCCAACAACAAACACTCTGTGAGGTGAGTGAGGCTGAGAGACTTTAGAGAAGTGTGACTGGCCCAAGGTCACCCAGCAGCTGCATGTGGAGGAGCGGAGACGCAAACCCGGTTCACCAAATTACAAGTCGACCGCTCTTAACCACTACACCACACTGGCTGCACACTGCAGCTGGTAATGGGACCAAAAGACGTGCGTCCCAATTTTATTCAGTGGAATGTTGAATGCTGTACTCTCTCTAGTGATATATCATGCCATTATCACGTGCAGCCATTCTGTTTTATTTCATACCCTTTGGAGCCATTTTTGTTATGCCACCCCCCCCAAACAGCCATTTTGTGATTGGCAGCCCCAACACTTCTTCAACATTTGAAATGTGCCCACTAGTCCAAAACATTTGACACTGTTTCAATGAATTTCATTGGTGTTGAGGAATATAAATATTTAGTTGGCTGTTTCAACCTTTTCTGGGATTAATACAGAACTGTTCTTGATCTTAAAATCTGCTGCAGCTGACTGCAGTATACAGTTTCTTGCACGTAATAACACCCTGTTATCTTTTTATAGGCACATGAAATAAAACATATATTTCTCTTAAAGAGGGAGGGAGGGATGGAATAAGAATGATAAATCACTTGTTCAATGAAAAGCCAGAATATGCTTTTATAGAACTAGCATTATGAAAGGGAATGTTTAGCTACAAAAGCAGTTGTGAAAGTCTTGTATGATATTTTTCTTCCGTTCAGTTTGCAAGTTGCCTCTTAATAACAAATCAAACAAACAAAGAAAGAAACAGGAGCATGGATCGCTGCTGAGAGCATGATTTGTGACTGAAGTACCAAAGCAATTCAGCAGTGAATTGGGATTCATGTCCGCTTTAAAAAGGAAGTCATCAACTCCATTACTTCTAATATCAAGCATGATTGTACCTTCTATGCTAAATCACAAAATGCACCATTGCAAACCTTCCCAGCCATCATTTCTTTCATAGCAGCAAGAGGACAAATAGGTGCAATTTGTCTATTTTACTAGAATATTAACAAACTTGGTCACAGTCTACTCTAATAAATAATCTAGTTTGTCTGTGGAAATATTGTGGAATAGCCTGTTTTCTAGGGTGTGTTTGCTATGTTGTTGGTTTAACATTCTCATGAAAAATTTGCCATTGATTTCAGATACTGTCTCATTATATTGTGTGCCACTGTATCTGAGGCTGTGCAGTGTTTTGATGTTCCATGTTTTAATACTGCAAAGTTCACCCTTGAGCATAGAAAGGTTAAGAGGTTAGGAAAGGAATCCTTTATTCCCCCTCCCAAATCAATTCTCTGAAACCTAACGTGACATTCTCAAACATCTCTACATCTGTTTTCTTCATTAATAGAGAAAACACAGTTGTTATATTGGCACTTGTTGTTAGCAACATTATAATATAATGAGGACATATATTGCAATTCCATTAAAACCTGAACTTCAGGCATTAATTTGTGTGTGTGTGAGAGAGAGTTGTCTGTGTGAGTTGTCTGTGTGTGTGCAATGCAGTAGCGTGAAATTTATTTTGTATGTTGTCAGCCTCAACCCTGATCTGTTCTGCAAAACCATGACCAACAAGTCATTAAGTTATATTTATGCTATGGAGAAGAAGAAGAAGAAATATTATAGCCCTTACCATTTTATACAATTTCTGATAGGAGAGTTTACTAGCTCTTCAAATTGGGGTATAACAACATTTTCCAAATGCAGCCATTATGACTTGGCTCCAAAGTAGCACAACAACTTCCCTTTGCATAATGGTCAACCCCCTCCCGACCTGCCAGAAAGGTGAACCTGAAAAAGTGCAAGAAATTGTTTAGTGCTCCCAATTTCCTAAACCCTTAATTATGCTGCTTTATGTTATGCCATATTTTAAATTTTATGGCAGTGTAAAATTGAGTGAGAAGTATGACGTACTCAGAACTAGGCAATTTCAAGGATTATATATTTACAGTTAATGGCTAGATGATTCTGGATAAACTTGTTTCTTTAAGTATTTACATAATCATTTTAAGTACATACAACCTCCCCTACCCCCCCCATTTGTGCAGGGGTTGTGTTGCAGGTCATTGCACATGACGTCAGAGCATGTATAAGCCCACCCCATCTGGTTACATCCCGTTGCACCCTGTTATGTCCCCTTTTCATGCCAGTCCTGGGTTCATGGTGATGCACGCTTGCACAGCCGTGCATGCTTTGAATGTGCACAAAATGGTTGTTGCCTGTATATCATTAAATTCTCATTTGCCACAACCATACACCAAAAAAGAATATATATATATGGGTCAAGCTACATCTTATGCTTAACATGTTGCTATGTCATTCACTGGTGGGGTTTGGGATGAATGTAGCTATTCCACTGTACAAGGGGAGAAAGCCCCACTGAGTTGATGCACTCTCAGAGACTGATGGAATCTGATGGATTCCTAAGTGCTCTGGAGGATTTTGTGGCTGATATGGCTGGTCCAGAATGCGGCAGCTAGACTGGTGACTGGGAGTGGCCGCCAAGACCATATAACACCGATCCTGTCAAAGTGTTGCTGCTGACCTTTAAAGCCCTAAATGGCCTCGAGCCAGTATACCCGAAGGAGCGTCTCCACCCCCATCGTTCAGCCCAGACACTGAGGTCCAGCTCTGAGGGCCTTCTGGCGGTTCCCTCCCTGTGAGAAGTGAGGTTGCAGGGAACCAGGCAGAGGGCCTTCGCGGTAGTGGTGCCCGCCCTGTGGAACACCCTCCCACCAGATGTCAAAGAGAAAAAAGCAACTACCAGATATGTCAAGGAAATAAACAACTTTTAGAAGACATCTGAAGGCAGCCCTGTTTAGGGAAGCTTTTAATGTTTGATGTTTTATCGGGTTTTTACTATTTTGTTGGGAGCTGCCCAGAGTGGCTGGGGAAACCCAGCCAGATGGGTAGGGTATAAATTCTTCTTCTTCTTCTTCTTCTTCTTCTTCTTCTTCTTCTTCTTCTATTATTATTATTATTATTATTATTATTATTATTATTATTAGTCCTCCAGTCAAGGCTCCTGTCTCACTACGGCAAACTCTGAATTGGGGCTAGTCTGCTGCTGTGTTATTGTACTTTTTTTTTAGTATATTTGATTTGAAGTCATAACTGTTTGAGTTAATCTTATTGTTTATAGAAGAAGGTTATGGCGTAACCTTCCCTGGGATCATGAATAAGTAAACAAAAGTCTTTTATAAACCTCAGTACTGTCACACTTTCCCCAATAGTCTAGAATTCATTCCCATGATAGAATCTCCTAGTTGGCTATGTTTGATCCGATATAACAGTGGTGGAGAACCTTTTAGAGACCGAGCACCCAGACGGCAAACCAAAACCCACTTATTTATCATTGAGCTTTTTTGGGGGGGCTTCCCAAAGTGGTTGAGCTTTTTAGTGGGGAGATAGAACAGAAATAAATGACCAATAATACTTTTGCTGTCACCTCATCTGTCTCCTGAGAAATCTCTATGTGGGACAAGAAGCTACAGTTAAAACTGGATATGGAACAACTGATTGGTTCAAAATTGGGAAAGGAGTACGACAAGGCTGTATTTTGTCTCCCTGCTTATTTAATTTATATGCAGAATACATCATGCGAAAGGCTGGGCTGGATGAATCCCTGACCGGAATTAAGATTGCCAGAAGAAATATCAACAACCTCAAATATGCAGATGACACAACCTTGATGGCAGAAAGTGAGGAGGAATTAAAGAACCTTTTATTGAGGGTGAAAGAAGAGAGCGCAAAATATGGTCTGAAGCTCAACATCAAAAAAACGAAGATCATGGCCACTGGGCCCATCACCTCCTGGCAAATAGAAGGGGAAGAAATGGAGGCAGTGAGAGATTTTACTTTCTTGGGCTCCATGATCACTGCAGATGGTGACAGCAGCCACAAAATTAAAAGACGCCTGTTTCTTGGGAGAAGGGCAATGACAGGCCTAGACAGCATCTTGAGAAGTAGAGATGTCACCTTGCCAACAAAGGTCCGTATAGTTAAAGCCATAGAGGACGAGATGGTTGGATAGTGTTTTCGAGATTACCAGCATGAGTTTGACCAAACTGCGGGAGGCAGTGGAAGACAGGAGTGCCTGGCGTGCTCTGGTCCATGGGGTCACGAAGAGTCGGACACGGCTAAACGACTAAACAACAACAACAACACCTTTGCTGGAACTAACACGCAGCACCGACTTCATCGTCCGCCAAAGTGCCAAAAAAGCAGCACAATAAGAGTGAAAAAATTAATGTTGCTATGCCCAATCAGAAACAGCCACTGGCACAGCAAATTGGAAAACAGACCAATCGCTGAACACAATCTTCGGCTACTGGCTACCAGCAAATAAATAAATAATAATAATAAAAAGGTTCTGGGTTTCAACAGCGGACGCAAGCTGTAGCGTGGGGGGGGGGAGTGGGAGAAAAAATGGGGGGGAACAGTGCAGATGGGCCGATGGCGTGTGTGCCAGCAGTGAGGGCTCTGTGTGCCAAGTGTGGTATGTTTGCTATAGGTTCGCCACCGCTGCCATATAAAGTCAACGTATATACAATGCAAACAACACATTTGTTACTATACAGTACAAAGTACATTGAAAAGCTAAGAACTTCCTTTCTACTTGTAATATGTATGGTATTTTCAGGCTAATTTCACCTCCAGGTCAAACCAGCAAAGTTATTTCAAAAGAACTGCGGCATGGGTTGCTGTCTATTTTAATTAAATCACACCAAGTGAGATGCATGGGGGTGTACCAATTTCAGGTTGTCAAAAAGAGGCAAATCTGCCAAACACAAATATAAGAAGAAAATGTTTTTGTGAGATTGTAATGTGATGCATATTCTGAACATATTATGCTATAAATGACTAGAAATGGCTTGGGCGGTAAGTTGATTTTTAATTAGCCGGTTCTTGACATTGTCGTGTTCGTAAAGCTTACATTTTAAATCATCCGTCAGCTGCAAAACACCACTATGGAGCATGACATCCAATTATATTAGTAAAATAACCTGCATAAAGTAGATGGATGAAAAGCTGAAAATGATAAATTAAACTATACAGGAATGTGGACCCAAAGCACAACACAACTAGTTTTGCACACCAAAGGGAGCTTGGGACTTCTCAACTTCTTCAATTTTCATCCGGCTGGCACGACATTTTTAGACTTTCTTCTTACTACCATTTCAGATGCCTATAATCCACACAATCTAGCATCTCTCTGTGTGTGCATGTGCATAACTTTTACTGATATTGTAATCTGCACAGGTTGTTCCAGACTATTTCAGTTTCCCATCTGAAAAGAAATAATTGAGAAATGAATGATACAAACAAGAAACGAGAATTAAAAATGAATGCACCCCAAATCCCGGGGTCAGGAACTTATTTGTTCGTATTTCCATCCTTTTTGGAAATAATAATTATTCATTTCATTTTTGATTTGTTTTCAAAAGCAGATGGATACCCCATTTGCGCCTAAAGTGGGTGACTATTATGAAGCAATATGTAGAATTATTGGAAATCAAATGGCACCGCAATGATCATTTGTCCTCTTTAAATCTAATTCACAGTCCAATATATATATATATAGAAATCAGACTGAACTGGTTCAGCAATAAAATTCCCTTATTAACTTTGAGAGAGTTATTCATTAGAGTCCTGCAAATCTGAGAGGGACCCCTGGGGTAACAATGTCCTTGCTGGGATGGAGTGGAGCAGGGCTCTCCACCATTACACGTAAAGGCCTAGGTGTTTGTTCCCTGTTCCCTGTTCCAGTCCTCTCACTCCAACAGAAGTTTCTGGTAGCAGATCCATCAAGCCCTCTGGTCTGGAGCTGATGCTGATGCTGCTGCTGAATGCCAAATTGGTCCTTAAGAAAACCATGCTTATCCATGTCTTGGTTGTAGATGAGCAGACTGATCCAGATTGTATTACCAAGACTTGAATGAGTGAGCTGGGTGGGCCTCAGCTGTATCCACCTGGGTTTTCTTTTTTCTTTTCTTTTCTTGATTTTTTTTTAATTCAATTTTACAAGTGTAAGGTTTTAAGAGTACCAAGTCCATATCCGTATTGGTTCTTAAACTTAATCCATTCCGGAAGTCTGTTCCAAAACCAAAGCGTTCCAAAACCAAGGCACGCTTTCCCATAGAAAGGAATGCAAAATGGATCAGTTCCAGACTTTGAAAAACAACCCCTAAAAAAGCAATTTAACATGGATTTTACTAACAAGACAATTGATCATTAAATGAAAGCAATAAAAAATGTACTGAAGTCACACAATCAATCAATCTGAACTGGGTTCCACACAATCACAATAATAATAATAATAATAATAATAATAATAGAGCCACAAAAACACAAAATAAATAGCAAAAACAGACAGACCTCAGCATAACACTCAAAACGGAAGTGTGGCACTCAAAACGGAAGTGTGGCACTCAAATCTGAAGCATAACACCCAAAATGGAGCATGTTCGGCTTCCGAAAAAAGTTCACTAACTGAAACACTTATTTCCGAGTTTGCAGTGTTTGAGTTCTAATTGTTTGAGTACCAAAGACAGCACTGTATAGAGATTTCTCTGAATCTCCAGACTTCCCAGTCCTATTGTCAACCTTTCCAACTGCATATTATTTCATAATCCATATTTTGTCTCTCTCCATATTTTCCATAGTATTTGTTACATGACAAGTGTTATTAGAATCCTGCTAATGTTTTCATCTGCTTACAGTGGTCTCCTAAATAAATTATAAATTTTTCCCATTCTTTCTTGAAGATTTTGTCTTCTTGGTTCCTGAGCTTTCTGTTCAGTTTTGCCATTTCAGCGTAGTCCAACAGCTTAGTTTGCCATTCCTCTCTGATAGGGACTTTATCTTCTTTCCATCTCTGGGCTAGTAACATCCGGGTGGCTGTTGCTGAATACATGAAAAGTGTTTTCTGCTCCTTTGGGATGTCGATACCCACAATTCCTAATAAAATAGCTTCTAGTTTGTTTGTTTCTACAAAGGTTATTTTAAACATTTTTTTTTCAATTCATTATATATCATTTCCCAGAATGCTTTTATTACCTTACACTGCCACCACATATGCTTAAAATGTACCTTCTTTTTCTTTACGTTTCTTTACATTTTTGCTAATTTACTAGGAGTCAAATACCACCGGTACATCATTTTCATATAATTTTCTTTCAGCCTACAACATGCTGAGAAGTTCAAGTTGGTTTTCCATGGTTTTTCCTATCCACCTGGGTTTTCAGTACTGAGTTAAATTGGGGGTCCACTGATGGATGAAACAGAGACTTAATAAAGTACACCAGTGATAAAGAGAGTCTCTCATACACTGAGTGTTTGGGAGGGAAAGAACCTGGACACTTTGTGAACACTTCCTTCACCACAATACCTATCCTTATTTTGACATTATATATCCTTATTTTGTGAAGAGAACCTGAGCTTACAGGGTTAAACAGCTCAGAGTGTACGCCCTGCCTACTGTTGGGAGGGGGGAGACTCTGCGTCATTTCCGAGTCTCTCAAGTCTTTGTTCTCTCTACTTTCGCTTTTGAGGAGAGTGGACGTGTTTTCACGATGCTGTTCGACAATGGATAGTCTGCTGTAAATAAAACTGCTTTTAGCTGCTAAGATCCTGAGTGGACTTTATTTAGCACACTGAAGAAAGCACTGAAGCTTACAGCTTTCTCTAGCCGCTGCTGCTTAACTCTGCGTTTTGCTCAGAGCATCGGAATGTGGCCTTTGAAGTCCGAGGCCTGGCCAGGAGCTGCACAGCCGAAGCGGGCTGGACGCCAAGATTTATCTGAGCAATAAATCAATCACCTTTCACATATTTACACATTGATACAGGAGTGGCGATGCAACATGCTGGAACTAACTTCATTGCTATGCTAGCTACCGCTTAATGGTACAGAATTCTAGACAATTCTGCAAATTCAGGAGCCCCCTCCTCCATTGGTTTGGCTCATCTTAAGTTCTGGCACCACCTGACTTCTTTTTTGGGGGGTAGAGGTGGGGGAAAACACACTGATACCTCTTATATCTAAGCAAGACTTTCTGGCAAGATTTTCCAGTGGATTCGGAAGTGGGGTGGATTTCAGAGGCAACAAGGGGACCAAGAGAAAAGCAGACAAAACAGGAAAAGTGATATATATATATATATATATATATATATATATATATATATATTCTTCAGAAGTTTACACATTGATTTTCTGCTTTCATGGAACCCTTCTCAAATGGATTTGCTTGCTGAGGAGCCCTGGTAAGTCTGGCACAGAAACCTTGCACATTGCAAAGGATTCTGGGTAGCAATCTACCATACAGACTATTTTTTTTCTACAACAGCTTTTGCCAAACCAGTTTTCTTCAGATATTTTGGGCCGCAATATCTCAGCAACAGCACTGAGGCCTGCTCAGCTATCCCGTTTTATTCAGAATAAATGTCACACTTCTTCCAAAATAGGTGGAAGGGCACCAGGTTGGCAAAGCTTGTGCTACAGGGTGCTAGCCAGGACTCTTGGTGTCCTGTAGGATCTAACACTGTACATTAGAAAGCAACTAATGTGCTCTTGCAGGTGTTGCTATGGGAGGGGGGAGTTCAGAAGATCAGTAGTCTTTTCTGGAAATCTTGTCGGCTATGATTGATCTTCCATTTGGGAACCCTTGATAGTTTTCCAAGGGGTCCCAAAGTTCCCCAGAACTCATTTACAAAAACAAAAACCAGTTAAAAAGTCAGTGTAAGGAACTGAATGACCTTTTTGCTCTTCTGAGTTGCTCATTTACCAATAAAGCCATCATTATCAGCAATAATCATTCTAATATTTGTTGCCACCTTGTGGCCAAGAGGCAACAGCTGCTTAGCAAAATAAAATGAACTCGAGATGGAGATCAGTTGTTTTCCAGGCTGAAACATCTATGAACTCAGCCTCCAAAGTGAAACTTTTTGGGTACACCTAGATTTCTGGTTTCACCTTCATTTTTTAAATTCATAATTGTTTATACAAACATAAAAAGGAAGACAATTGTGCTGCAAGTTCAATACTCTGCTGAAATTCACTCACAGCAAAATACTAGGGTCTTATAGTGCAGCCAGTATCTCAGCAACAACACATGCATCGAGGTTCACTATCTCTACTAAGTGTCTGCTCCACTTTCCTATTTTTATTCAAAATAAATAAGCAACACTTCTTCCAGCTCATTTTATTCCCTTTTCCTTCCAGAATACCACTGGGCACAGAGTAAAAATCAAGATGAAAGTGGACTCCTTTAATTCCCTCTCTCCCGATTCCTTTTAATTGGAGCTATTGGGAAGTTATCTTGCCTCTGGAGATATTGAACACACTATGCTCTGCTTTATAGATGAAGGTGGCTGTTTTTCTCAGAGACGGGCAAGACAGGATCACCAGGTAGCAATCCCAAGATTCTCTCTTTACCTTTAAATCTCCTGGAGAACTGGAAGCTAGGCATTCATGACTTTTCATCTTGTGCATCCTGATACCCTTATCCCCTTTGCTTAGATATAAGAGGTATCAATGTGTTTCCCCCCACCCCTACCCCCCTAAAAAAAGAAGTCAGGTGATGTCAAATCTTAAGATGAGCCAAACCAATGGAGGAGGGGGCTCCTGAATTATCAGAATTGTCTAGAAATGGAAAGCTTGTGATAGCCTGTAAACTTTGTAGTACCCAGCCATCAGGAAGACAAGGGAGGGAACCTGTACTTCAGGTATAGGGAATATAAGCTCATGCTTTGCCAAAGCCAGAGTGTGCCTACTTTGGAGAACCGCTCTTGCAGGAACATATTGTATTCAATAAACTCTTTGCTGCTTCACCAATTTTGTTCAGATTTTATTTTGAGGATCTCAAGAGCCACTTCTAACCCTATGCAACCCTTGCAGGGGCAGGGGCAGGGCAGGGGCAGGTGGGACATCCGCAGGGGCACCACCCTACAGGATTCCACCGCCCAAGGCAGCTGCTTCCACCTGCTTCATGGGAGGGTCATGCTAAAAACCATATATCCTAAAAACCATATATCATAAAGACACCACAGTCTCCACTGTGCCTCATTTCCAAAAGTATTGCAAATGCTGGGTAAGTGCCTGGGCCCCGGGAATCTCACACTGCTTGAGGATTAGGGTGGCAACATAAGAAAATTGTGGCAACAGCCGACCTGATTTTATCAACAAAGTCACAGAGCCAAATGCAGAAAAGACACATATAAATAAGCTAGGGCTTTGGGGGGGGCGCTTTTGTAATAATCATAAAAAGCTCAACAACTTTCAGGGAGTCCTGGTTTTTACTTTTTGAAATATGGCAACATTAATATAGAGCAGGCATTGGTGTAATATGGGAGTTTTGTTGCAATTCTCCTTATTTTATCAGATAGGGTTATGAGAAAAAAAGTTTTGAAGGATTGCAAGGAACCTTTGGCATCAACTTAAAGTGATTTGTTGTTGACTTAAATGCGTGTGTTTTTCTTTACCTTAAGGTCACAGTATTGATTCTGGCAAAATACTGTAAATATTAAAACCCCAGGTCAATAAGCTTAACACTAACCTAAAAACATCAATAAATGCTTACCATCTGCAGAGCTGAAACAAGATCCTTATCTAAGACTTGGAGACACATCACTTTCTTGGAGCTGAGAAGTTTGAGCATGTGTGTATCTATTTTCAATGTTGCTACAATAAATATCCCAGGCTGTGAAGCTCAGCAGAATTTCAGTAGGAAGTCCCATGGAAATTAATGGGACTAGCATCCCTGTTAAAACAGAAGCACACATTTTAGGGTTAAGGTGGGACAAACAATATTTTTTTCTGATTTTTTTTGAAAGGCAGTCCTATTTTAAAACAAAACAAAACAAAAAAAAGGGCGGGGAAGGACATTAATACAGCAGTCATAAATATGTGTGTCCAGAAATAAAGCTCATTGAACTAAGGCCCCATCTGCATTTCAGGCATACCACTTTATACAGAAATGACTTCTCCTAAAGAATCCTAGAACTGTAGTTTGTTAAGAATATGGAGAGTTCTTAGAAGACCCCTACTGGCCTCGCAGAGTGAGAGTGGTTTAACAATTAATCCCTCTTCCCAGGGAATTCTGGCAACTGAAGTTGTGTGAGGGGACTAGGTATCTCCTAGCAACTCTTGGCATCCTTAATAAACTACAATGCCCAGGATTCTTTGGGGGATGTCCTGACTGCTTAAAGTGATATGATGCTGACTTAAATGTATAGAGTAAAAGGGGCTGTGGCGATCACACAGGGTCCCCGGACATTTAACGGTCTATTGATCCGTGTGCCACCACTGTGCTTGCTTCCCCGCTGCCACCAACCCATTACTCTCGGGTAAAACATTGAGTCCAGACAGTTGTTAAAAGTGAACCCAATAAACAAATTTATTTTATAAACATTAACAAGTTTATGGTTTCTCAGATAATATTCCTGTCAGTTTCTTAACTTTAGTTTCTTTACCGGCATATACCTTCCCAATACCTTCTGACTGATTATCTCAGCTGTTTGACGGACTCCTCTTAATAAATTCTCTCACTGTCTCACATCAGACTAGCCCAACCCACAGACTTATCCTAACTGTCTCGTCTCTAATTCCAGACTGACTTCTCAACCACTCTAACTGTAACTCCTCCCCTTGGGTTCCCATTGGTTAGTCATTTTACAATTAGTTAACCCTTTCCTTATGAACCCAGTATGATGTCACACCACCTAGGAGGGCAAACGCCACAGCGGGACCAGAAATTATTGAAAAATTGGAGTAAATATGCGAACTATTTGAAAACCAATTGTAATAAACTGACTATGCTTGTAGGGCTACAAGAAGTTTTGTAAGGAAAACTATATGAAATATTACAGAAAAAAATTATGAGAATGGATTTTAAGTTATGGACTATTAAAAGTAATAGTGAAAATAATGAAAAGCAAGATTAAGAGATGAAGGTTGAAAATCACTAGACATGGTTGATGGAAGTCCTAGGCATATGGCCAAAATGTTGTATAAGATGAGAGGAGATGTTATGTTTGGAATGTTTGGAGATGTTATGTTTGGAATATATATATATAAACTAATAAAAATATTATAAAAGAAAAAAAAGAAAAGAAAGAGACACTGGGGGGAAAGCTGTTGAAAAAAATTCTGGGAGAGTTCCTGTCCCTTTAAAGGCTTGAGATATGCAAAAATGTAGCAGATAAAGTGATGTGAAATGCTTCACATGCTAAATGTTTCCTTGTCAAGCAGCTGTTAAAGGCACAGAAAGACCTCCAGGAAAGAGGTTTGCCATGCAAGTGTCTGTCAGGGGGCGGGAAAGTGCGACAAGTTTTAATGTAACAAATAATTGTGTTTAAAACATTGCTAACTAACAAGCATGCCTGTTTTGATTTAGGAACCATTCTTTCTTTGTTTGTTTGTCTTTAAGCATCTAAAGCCCCATTCTAACATTTATTTCCTTCTCTGTGGACTTCACTCTTTTTCTGTATCTCATACCTTACTCTCTTCTGCTTTCCCTTTGCCAACTGCAGGTCTTATGCCTCACTTGCTTCTCCACTTTCTCTCTCAACACCCCAAACCACCTCTTTTTGCATTCTCACTAATCCTTGCAACCCACATATAATCCTACTTTTTAGGTCTCCCTAAACAGCTCCCTCTTCCTCTTGTCTTTCCTCCCTATAACATTGCTTCTGTCCTCCTCCACCACAACCTTCTATCTCTGTTGTCTGGGCCTTTTTTTCTTCCTACACTCCCTAGTAGTTTATCTCTTTCGCAGCAGCACCACCTGTCCGTTACATCTTTATGAAGTTTTCCTGTGACACACAAGCCTTATGGTACACATCACTTCTTTTGCCTGTCTCTCCCGTGTTTCCATTTCCACTCTTCCTTGATGAAGTCAGTGGTCACAGCATTGAAATCTTTTCCTGACCCAGCAATCCACACACTCATATGCTGATCAGCCTTGCAAGAGGATGGAGAAAGATCTATCAATTCCATTAAGTGCATCTCAATATAGGGAGAAGATGACTACATCCTTCCTATCCTCTATTGACGGGTGTGTGTGTGTGTGTGTGTGTGTGTGTGTGTGAGAGAGAGAGAGAGAGAGAGAGAGAGAAACTTTTTTCTGTTGATCCCAAAAAAGATGTAAAAGTATTTTTGTAAACCACAACTGCTGCATGGATCTTGTTAGCCAAAAAATGGAAAACACAAGAATGACCAACGGTAGAAGAATGGCAGATGAAGATGATGGACTTTATGGAGCTGGCTGATCTCACCGGGAGAATCCGCGACCAGACAGAAGAGGAATATCAAGAAGAATGGAAGAAATCTAAAGACTATTTGAATAAATATTGTAATATTAAAGACTTGTAGCTACTTGAAATAATTTATCAGGCTTAGGATTAAATCGGGACTAAATAAATAAATAAGAAACAATATGATAAGAAAAGTTAGGAAATATGATTATGACTGGTTTATTGTAATATGAAATAATGATATTGGAAACTGCTACATTCAATTACAAGGAAATTCAGTTGGAAGAGATTAGAGAAAGTCAAGTAATATGTTTACGAAGTTGGACTTTAATTAATTAACTAAGTTTTATTGTATCTATATATGTGGTGGTTGGAAATATTTTATTTCTTTTATTTTCTTTTTTCTTTTTTCATTATTGTTTTTTTCCTTTTTCTGTTATGTTAAAGTTATGTTTTTATATGAAACTTAATAAATATTATGGGGAGGGGGGGAGAAACTTTTTTCTGTTGAAGCCATATTCCATCAGGGTCACAGGTCAGTGTCTGCCCTTGCCATATGTGTTTCTGCAAGACAGTAGGAAGCAATTGCAAACCATAGTTATTCAGCACCCCTTGAAAACCTGGGTGGAGCCGTGGTACAAATGGCCCATGGACCTAGTGTTGTAGAAGCCCCATTTTTAATAGATTTATTGTCTGGGAAGCAGAAGATCACCTGACTCCAACCCTGTCTGTAGTAGTGATGGTAATGTGGAACTACTTCTGTGGCATTGCTGCATCTGATCAGTTCGAAGGTAGTCATTGAGGACTGTTCTGGTAGTCTACAATTCATGCGGATTCAAGCTGTCTACACAAAAGAACCCTGGGAGTCTGAAATTCAAGACACTTATTGCATTGAACAAGTTGAGAATGATGTATTGGATGTTTCCTGCTACATTTCTGATACATTGTAATTCCGGACAACTGTTGCTGGCATCCATCTGTCTCGAGAACAATGGACCACATCTCTGTGGGTGAACCCAAACCGTTGCATTAGCAGTACTGAAATGACCTCTCCGGGGTGCCAGCCTGGGCAGTCTGTATGGAGGTTCTGGGCTGCCCAGATGACAAGATCCCCTTGTTGGCCTCGCTGATGTGGTACAAAGGAGAGCAGAGCAATATGTTTGACACCAGCCTGGCTGCAGGAGTTGCTGGAAGGAGGCACCATCCAACTCTCTTAGGAACTCCACTCTGGATTTGTATAGAGTTTACTCCTTAGCCTTTTCTTTCCCCAAAGATATCCCACAAGGCAGAAGCGGTTTAAGAACTTCCCTTCTCCTAGATGGGCTACTTTACCTGATGGATGAGCCTCATCTGCCCCTCACTTCCCTCTATACCACTTGTAGGAACCACCTTATTGGCCATTGGACTCACTATTGTTCTTGTCTGCTCAATCTACCAGAGCCTCTCTTCACACGCAGGGGAAGTCCCTAAGTCACTGAGGGTTTGAGAGCCATTGGCTACCTTCACCTAGTTTGTCCAGCCAGTCAAAGTTTCCTGTTTCCCAGAGTGTGGTCACTGTCACATGCTGACAGCTTCTGGGAGCTACTGGTGAGAGCTAAGTGCAGGCTGGGGACCAAAAGTGGACAAACTACCTCAGAAGGACCATGATGTGTCCCTCACTAGAGTAATACCCCATCACTAACACCCTATGCACCCCAATCCAGGACAACTAAATCAACTGTAATAACCAAAGGGACACTTTTCTTAGGAACAAATCCAGATTTCCAGACCAATAATACCAGGTGACTGACAGCAGCCCTGCAGGCCTGATGTGCTGCCAGACTGAGCTAATGGCCGGTCTGCCCCATTTCCTGGTTACAGAACAAATGCAATCAAGACACTCAAATAGTAACTTCCGATTTGGCATTGAAATCGCAGCACTCAAGATTCTCATTTGAAATCCCAAGCGATGGCAGGAAAATATTCCCAGTCCAACCTCATAGATTGGTAGGAGTTGGCAGAACAGCAGCAGCAACAACAAATGTTAATGAAATAAATGTGAATGGGCCATGTTCTTTTTAACGGTGCCTTCTCATAAACATTCCATAAAACAGAAACAGTACACTGATGTAAATCTAATCAATGATTTTCGGAATGAATAATTTATCTGGTTCTATTGATCATAAAGATGTACAATCCGTCTCCTGAGAAAAGAGAAAGATGGGAAGAGCTGGAGTCAGGAGGGTAATTGTTTAAATGTGTTCTCCGCAGCAGAAATGTTGCTTTCGTAGCTCTGTTGCAGCACCAATTGCTTCCTTGTTCTTCTCCTGTAGCAATCAAAACCATGTACTCTTCTAAAGATCACTGGCTATATTCTAAAGTTATGTAGTAGAAACAGCATAACTAAGTTCTTGGGACCTGAGTTAGCTAGGTCTGCATCATGGTTAAAGCCAACAATGGGCATAAACCCGTATTATCATTTTTTTGGGGGGGGGGATTAGATGAAGAGGGAGCCTGTAAATACATTTTTATTCCTGAGCCACCTTTCAAAAGTGTCCTATACTTTGTATTGTACATTATACATCTAATCGTGGATTAGATAAATGAAATTAATGGATTTAAGTTCATTCATATTTTTAAACTTTAGCTCCAAAGTTTGCTTTCTCCATTTCACATTTTTCCAATCTTCAGTTTAGTTCTCTTTTTTCCACATCAATGTGCAACCTAAAAAGGAGACATTTTAGTGCACCCCCCCAATACATATTTGTGTATGCTATTTCCCCATATATAATGAATCTTGCATATTATTTTCATTAATATATGAAATATATTCCCCTAATATAGACATTTTGGCATACTTTTTTTGTTGGAGAATTCCATTGCAATATTCAGAGAAGTGCAAATTTTGAAAGACTGCTGCATTTTGGTTTGTACCCTGCTTCTGGAAATGCAAATTAGGCCTGTTCATATTCGGATAGGAACCAAAGCAATTTTCTTTCCTGTCCTGCTTGCAATATATTGAAATAAGTATATGTGCAAATTCTGAACATGCTCTCTTGAAAGAGAACTGGATAGTTCCAATAGGGCAAACCAAATATTGTATACATTGATGGGGGGGGGGGAGAGAAAATACAGATACAGAAATAGGTCTAATGAGATGAAACATCTGAGGGCAGCCATTTCAAATTTGGTACAGATAAAATATCAATACAAAGTTGGAGAGAAAATCATGCTAAAAGGTCCATTGACAGGCTACAGGTCTCGGGATCCTCTATCAAACAAATGACCTGATCTGGGTAGATTTTTAGCAGTAAACGGGGGCCACCAGGGGGCGCATTAGAAGATGGCTGACAAT